ATTAGTCAACAACGTGATATGATACAATTCCCTTATTAGGACTACTTTTTAGCATGAATGAAATTAAAAATTTCATGGAAATCATAGTGGAAGAACATTTAGAATCATGGACTGATTATAAATTTAGATCATGCAAAAAGTCTTATTACATAGGTAATCATGCTTAAGGATATTTATATCTTTTCACATACATAATGTAAAATTGGTACATACATAATGCTTTAATTTGACATGCTTATAGACGGCAAGAAAATTCTCATCTCAAACGAATATCAAATTAATTTTTTTTTGAATTGAAAGAAGGCTAAAATAGTGGGCTATGCGCGAATACTCTCATCTGTTTGCTGCGCAACAACATCATCTAGAGCTAGGAGGTTTGCTAGCTCATCCGGGGGGGATCAAAATGAATCTAGATGTAGTGTTGCCGCGAAGCGAGCTTTGGCATCTTATCGGCAATCTTGTTTCCATTCTTGCTAATCCATTGGATTTTTGTCACCCAACATCCCGACTTTTGAAGATTGATAATTGCGCGAAGCAGCGGAATATGGCTGTCGATTGATCTACTTTCTCCTACCAATTTAATTGCTCTGCTGCAATCAGACTGGATCCATAGCCTGTGAATGCCCAAGTTTCTTGCAATGAGTATACCTTAATAAATGCTCCAAAGTTCAATGTGTAGTATCAACGTTGTTCATACATTCTTTGTGAAACCTGTAATCCATTCTTCTTTAGAGTTACGGATAACACCACCAATTGAGCCTCGCCCATCAAGTGTCGCCACTGCACCATCTGTGTTCAAGCACATCCATCCTCGGGGTGGTGGAGACCACATTGTATTTTTCGCATGTAGTACCAGATATATAATAAGGACTTTAGAACTATTTGCATAGCATTTTGCCCAGTTATAGCTACTGTGAATTGTAGAATATGTTTTGTAAGTGGCACCCTTAAAAACATAGTCATTCCTTTGCTTCCAGATGTGCCAAATAAGAGCAGTAAAAAAGGAAGACCAAGGAGGATCGCCATCACTTACGGGTTGTTGCTTCTGAATATTTTGTGTAATCCATGATTGAAGATCAACACCGAATTACTGATTCCATGGCTGCGCCAAAAATCACACAGGAGTAGTCATTTGTCAACATTCATCTTCTGCGTTCATAGTTTGTCATGATATTTTCTTTATAAGCAAGCCATATGAACATGCAGACTCATTGAGGAGCGGTGATCGACCAAATATTATTCCAAACATTATTCTTTCCAGACCAGCTATCCTCTATGAGAAAGGTGTAAGCCGATTTGATCGTAAAGTGATGTTTAGGATTCCATTTCTAGACCAGGGCATCGGATATATCAGTAGCCTCAGGAGGCCGAACGTTAAGCACGTGAGGGATGGCAGCTGGAACAAGAACTTGGGATAGCGCCTCCATGTCCCTATGATTTTGTTCATCAATGAAATTGTGTAGCTTCTGAGTTGGGTGCTCATGTGCGTTAGCTCGTGTATAACCGCATAAAGGTCCCAAATGTGGCACTCACGCATCATTCCAAAAGTTTATGGTATCTCCATTGTCCACAGACCAGACCAAACATGAGAATAATATGCTCCATGTTTTCTTTATCCCTCGCCATAATGGGGTGCAAATGTATCTTTCAATGGATAAAGGATGAGCATCTTTGATTTTATATTTTTTTGTGAGTAATTGGACCTAGTAAGAGTTTCTCTTTACTATAATAGAATAACCAAGCTTTATCAGGAAAGCTTTATTCTGCTCAAGAGGTCGGATAAAACCCAACCCTCCTCTATCAATAGGAGTGAAGACCGTAGGCCAATTAACTAAGGAGATTTTCCTTCTGGAGGGTTCAGAGTCCCAAATAAAGCACCTAGTCGCAGATTATATCTCGTCACAGGCCCTTTTAGGAAAATACTTGACTTGCATAAAATAAGTCGGTATGGCTGAAACGACCGATTTAGCCAGAGTAACACGTCCTGCCAACGAAAGAGTTCGAGTTGCCCAACCATTTAATTTAGCCCTGAATTTGTCGAAGATAAAGTCAAAATCTGCAGCTTTCATACGACTATGAAGAACCGGCATGCCAAGATATTTACCCATATGGTCAACTTCTTGGAACCCAAGACATGAAAGGATGACAGTTTTCGTTTTTGTGACAGTGTTAGGCGATAAGTATATATGAGTCTTCCGTTTACTGACTCTGTGTCCTGAAAGTGTCCAAATTGGGTGAGGATTTTCTCAATTAGCCTATCATGAGGTAGATCAACTTTTTCGTATATCATAAGGTCATTAGAAAAAAATAAATGGCTAATGGGAATTTCTTGTCGGGAAAAAGAGAAACCCTTCCAATCTCCTTCTTTGACGCATTTATGAATGCTATGACCAAGTATTTCCATTGCTAAAACAAATAGATATGGAGAAAGAGGGTCACCTTGTCAGATACCCCGCTCTGGTTTGAAATCTGGAGTGTATTCATCATTCCATTGTATTTGCATATAGGCCAAAGTGATAAAATGCATTATGACTCGGATGGTGCTGGCTGGGAAGCCAGCGTCAGTGAACGAATCTTGGATGAAATCCTATGGATACGGTCGAAAGCTTTTTCAAGATCCACTTTAATTGCCATCCAACCTTGTTTTGTCTTGAGTTACCGCATTGAGTGGATTACCTCCTGATTTATAATAATATTTTCTGTAATAGAGCGCCCAGTGATAAAACTTGTTTGATTCGACATGATTAAGATAGGCATTAAATGCTTTATGCGACAAATGATGATTTTGGTGATGAGTTCATACATGACAGTGCATAGGCTGATGGGGCAGAAATCAACAAAAGTTACTGGAGCTTCTATTTTTGGGATTAAAACAATCATGGTTTTATTTAAACCGGCTTCAATATCACCTCATGCAAAGACCTTTTTAACCATGCTACAAAAAAAATGAGCCACCACATGCCACTGTTTTTTGGAAAAATTATGCATGTAGGCCATCATGGCCAGACGCTTTTAGAGGGGCCATATCTTTCAGAGCTTCAAATATTTTCGTATCATTTTGAGTGATAGCCATGGAGTCCTGCAGATGTGCCGGGATTACCGGGAATCAACTTAAAATAGGAAATTTTCGTACCACTTCCTCATCAAAAGCATAAATATTCATGAAATAATTAACTGTTTCTTCCTTGAGTATATTTGTGTCATAACACCAGTCGTTTGAAGGGAGCTTTAGTGACAGGATTCGATTCTTCTACTTTCTCTATACGGAACTTCTATGAAAGTATTTTGTATTACGGTCACCTTATGCTGTCCAATTGACTCTCGATTGTTGTTTCCAAAGTGTTTCCTCTTGATCTAAGAGTTTTTCTAACTCGATGAGGAGCTCAACTTCAAGATTGATAAGGAAATTTGAGTGGAATCTATTAAGACTTCTGTGCACTCCTCGAAGTCTTGCCATAACAATCTTCTTTTTTTGTGCCAATATAACCAAACACTGTTTTGTTCCATGTATCCGTTGCATCATTAAAATGGGAGATAGTGCCCGAACGAGTCTCAGAGATTACCCAATTATCATCCACCATTCGACTGAAGCCATCTTGTTGTAACCAACCAGAGAAGTACCTGAATTAAGATGGGCGAAGATTGGCTATAGGGCTGCCGACACCGAGGAGAAATGGTCTATGATCAGATCGTATTTGGTAGAGGTGGTGAACGACTGTCTCGGGATAAGATTCATCCCATTTTCTATTACATAAAGCTCTATCAAGAGGAGCATAACATAATCCCCTGTTCCATGTAAATTTAGGACCTTGGAATCACATGTCGCGGATACCAAAATCATAAACAAAATCCTGAAAATTTCTGAAAGGCCGAGTAGTAGTCACACAATTCTTCCTCTCGGAAGCAATAAGAGTGGCATTAAAGTCTCCTAAAATGACCCAAGGCGTGGTAATATACCTAGCTAGGGACCAAAGATGAGTCCAAAATAACTCTCTCTTTGTTGAATTTGGACTAGCATATATAAAGGACGCTAAAGTCGAGAAAATTCCTTGGGTGGTAGAGATACGAAAGTGGATGAATTGGAGATGATTGAGAAGTATATCCACTTGAATTTTTCCATGCCAGCATAACCATATGCCACCTGAAAAACCTATTGCTTTAATACGATGAGAGCGGCAGAAATCGGTGGCAGCGATAAAAACATCCGCTCTGCCACCACTTATCCGAGGTTGAAGAATAACTACTAAATCTGGTTTAAAATCAAGCAAATATTGCCGAAAGACTGTGAGAAAACGAGGATGACTACATCCCTTGGCATTCCAACTTATTAGTTTTACAACCATAATGAGAGATAAGTGTAAAAAAAGGAAAGATCATTCCAGCATGGGAACCAGTTGGCTTTCAATGCAATTGTTCTGCATGGCGTTCGTACATTGAGCAGGATTAGTGAGTTTACCATATATTGAAGGATGAGGTGCATCACTTAATTGAGCATAGTTTGTATCCCGTGGCTTACGTGGAATTAACTTGTGCTGGGAGTTCCCTTGTGTGGCGTGCGAGTTGATTTCTTTTGCAGTGTTCGGATTAGTGTTTTATGAAAGTACGATAGTCGAGTGCTTCGAATTTGTCTAGTATTGAGACGCGTGGTTCCACAGTATTTTGGCGGGGTTGATGACTTGACTACCCATGGTAACCTTTAGAGGATCTAGCAGTTACTTTGGGGATCGTTAAAGGTTTATAGATAGGAGCTGTAACCTTGCTCTTGGCAGCATGTTGATCCCTGGAGCGTGCTTTACTCGACTGTGCTTAAGGTGCCAGAGAAGGAGGATGAGTAGCCTGGTTGGTTTTTGAAGATTGGTTTGGCTGTTCAAAAGTAGTAACATTTACATCATCAGTGGATTCATATAGGGGATTGAATCTCGAGCCATTAGTCTCCATATTTCGCTCGCTATTCATAAGAGGTTTTTAAAGTTTTTCCTTTGCCATCTTTCAACGACCATCTATAGTCTGAAGGGTTCGGATTTTTGGTTGGCACTCGACAATTGTGCTTCAGCAACTTGTTTTTTTGGAGCATCATATTCTTGTTGGTCTTCAACAGTGTTTTCAGGGCAGATGTCTTTAACATGTCCATATCGGCCACAAGAGAAGCAGATGGTAGGCAGTGATTCATATTTAATGATTTGTACACGGCCATTGATTAAGAGCTTTGAGGTTAATGGTTTTTCCATATCCACGCTCACCGCCATTCGTGCAAAGCATCCTGGACGCCTCGTTTTTGTTTGGTAGTCGATTTTAACAACCTTCACAATGCATTCACCAATTTTAGTGATGATACTACGTTTATAAAGAGTTATCGGCAATCCCAAAAGCCGTATCCATGCCACAATTCGACGAGGGAATAATTGTGAAGAGGCATGCCACAGTTCAATAGTCAAATAATGTCCGAAGATTGTCCATGGACTATCGGAGAGCGCTGTCAAGAAATCTGATCGTGTTCACATTGAAACAAGGAAATAATCATTCCCTATGTCCATGAGACGAAAGGGCTGAGATGATTTCCATAGATCATAAAGCTTATTCTGAAGGGTTGTGTATCCAATACGCCTCTCAAGTAGCTTCACCACCATAGTCTGATCGAAACACTTATTGGCAATGGCTTGAACTCGGTCAGAGAAATCAATGGATATTAAACCATCCACGACACCACGAACGACATCATCTTCAAAGACTTCAACATCTTCCTCATCCATTATTTCTTCATCAATCGAAAGATCCGTAGGATTATCCTTGAGTAGAGTATCACGATAGGAGGTTGGGCCAGGCGAAGTTTCTAGGGTGGGTTTGCTGATAGCCTCAATATCCATACGGTTGGGAGAAGCGCCGCCTGTGTCCGGTGACTCTTCGTCATGTTGGTGTGCCTTCTTTATTAGGCGATCCTCCAGATTTTGCGGAGCTAGGTTTTCCATTAACGTTTTCCTTTTCTAGCAACCTTTGTTGAAATAAATAGGCCACTCTTTTTGAAAATGCAAATTAATCTTGAATTGCACAAACAAATTATTATGGGTTTAAATTGTAATCTGTTAGAGGATTACATTATGATAAGATAAAACTTATATATTTAACCCAAAATATCAAAACAAGGATCATAGTATCTGTATTTAATGAAGAAAATCTAAATTTTTCATATAAAATTCTCTACGTCAATCAAGTTTATCTTATATATACTCTAAAGCAATTGCAATAAAACACAACACACAAAGAGAATAACAAATAGCATAATCATAGTTTTTTTCTCTAAGTTTTAGCTTATAGATACTCGAAACAAGGATTTTAGTATCTGTATTTTATGAAGAAAATCCAAATTTTCCATATGTAATTGTCTACTTTCAATGAATTTTAGCTTATATATACACCAAAACAATAGCAATAAAACATAAAACACAAAAAGAATAAACAGAGAGCATAACCATACTACAATGGCTACCAACGTCCACTTCTTCTTTTCTGCTCTATTTCTTGCTCTCGTTGCCCTAGGTAATTCCCAACCCATATTTATATATATTATGATCTTAAAACTTGTATTATACTGACACTCATATTTTACCTTGATATATTTTGAAGGATACTGTCAATGCTCGATAGCCGACGTGACGATCAGACAAATGCAAAATGTTAAAACAGTGGAAAACAAGGCGGAATGGAAAGCCACAATCACCAACGGTTGCCCTTGCACTCAGTCTGATTTGAAACTCAGCTGCGATGGATTTCAGATGGTGGAAGCCGTTGATCGGTCGGTGATGTCAAAATCAGGGGGAGAATGTTTGATCAACGCTGGCCAGCCAGTGGCTCCCAACACCGACCTGAGTTTCAACAATGCTTGGGATACTCCCTTCTCTTTCAAGCCCCTTTCATCCCAACCCAATTGTTCTTGAATTTTGAGTTTAAAAGTACGATTTTTGAATTTCAGTGTTACTAAGTTCCTTCAATAATGAAACAAAACTTTATTTGCCTATATAACTATAAATTATTTTCATGCTTTTTATTTATCTTTTTGTAGGGTTATGTTCCAAATTTTACTGAAATAATCGTATCAAAATAATATAAAAAATTTAATATTGTGTCTCCAATCATTTTACTTGAATTTTATTAAGAATAAATCGTTAAGATGTAAAATTGACCAAAAACTATGCCATTCCTTCACCTAAGTAGGATTTTTTTTAGTATTTCCAAGAATAATATAAGAAACAGGTAAAATATAAATTGAGTTGTCTTTTACTTGGTAAGAATGACAAGAGGAACTGAAAGCAAGAAAAAGAAACAGGCAAATAATCCGGGCAAGACCGACGGTAATGGTGCTAATTTGGGAAAGGGAAAATTTGATATTTTGCAAGATTTTGGCTGTAAGAATATTGAACATGACCCTACAATTTAGGCAAAGAAGTTGCGAGGGATCATAACTCTAAAGTGGAAAATTTGGGCATAAACTCAGTCGAGTCTTTTTGGCAACCTAGTCCGCAACTCAATTCCAATTAACAAGCTCGTTTGATCCAATCAAGAGACCAAAAGGAGCAGACTTTAACCATTTTAACCACATGTTTCTTATTCGGGTATTCCCATGTTCTATTTTCATGTGCCCATAACCTCTAATAATGGACAGAAAATTAGTAGGAAATATGGTTGTTCTTAAAAGAGAACTAGTATAGATAGAAGTTGAAGTCAATGAGGTCTCTAAGCAAAAAAATAATTCTATTTAGAAAACTATACCATCCAGCAGAGGTGACAAATTCGAATTTGGGTCATTCATTTTTAGGTAAGGTGATTTCAAGTTTAGACTACATTCAGCTTTAATTCTATGCGAGTACTCATTTCAAATTTGGATTCAGTTCTTATGTAACGCCATAATCTTGAATATAAAATACCCGAAATTCAAAATGCTACATCCAAGCCACCAGAGCGGCCCAACAAAATTTTCAAATATTTTAAAACATTTCATGTAAGAGAAAAGCATAAATAATTATAATAAAATTATAATAAAAGTATATATATATATATATCAAAATAGTTAGATACCCCAAAATAATAAACGAGTTACAGACCCTCAAAATAAAAAATAGAACCTATGAATACAATGCTCACTAACAGATAAAATATCGCGTTCAAATATTGAGAATTCACTTAAACAACTAAAGGAATTCTAAAATGATACTTATTTCATTTATTGAAAAGTGTGTTTACAAAGAAATACCAACGCTCTATATATATACAACACTGTGATTCATGCACAACTTGTGTACATTGCTTGCTCAATCAGCTACTCAACAAACTAACCACCCTAACAGTTTAACCGTTGCTGCAACAGACTACAGTAGTCTAGTAACTAATCTTGGCACGTGCATTATTCACAGCAACAACTATATTCAACATCCCCTCTGCTTTTTCCTTGTTTTCAACCAACTGAACATTCACTCTTTCACAAAAAATTTCAAAAGCACCTCTAGTTAATGGTTTGGTAAAACCATATGCAATCTGATGTGATGCTGGCACATATTGAACCAATAGTTGTTTAGCAACAACTTTCTCTCGAATAAAATGTACATTGAGGTCAAAATGCTTGGACTATGCATGATAAACCGGGTTGGCACTCATTGCAATGGCACCCAAATTGTCACACCAAATAGTAGGTGGTGTAACCTGAGCTTCACCCAAATCAACAAGCACAACATTGATCCAAGTAACCTCTACAGCAACATCAACAATACTTTTGTACTCAGCTTCCAAGGTTGATCGAGAGACAATCTTTGTTTTCTTGACAACCAAGACACCAAACACTTGCGAACAAAGATACATTGACTAGACATTGACCGTTTATCATCTACATCACCACCCCAGTCTACATCTGAAAATGCTGTAACAGTAAGATTAGAACCAACAGGAGAGAATGTCAAACCGTAATCCACTGTGCTTGACAAATATCTAAGAATCCTCTTAACCGCCACTAGATGATACTCTCGAGGAGCTTGCATGTACTGAGCAACCTTGCTCACACTGAGAGCTATATCAGGTCGATTATGACATATATACAATAGAGATCCAATAATGCTATGAAACTCATAAGCATCAACTAAAGAGTTGCCTTCATCCTTAGACAACTTGTTAACTACAATCATAGGTGAAGTAGTTGGATTGACTCGAGTCAATTTTTTCTTTGCCAACAAATCCAATACAAATTTCTTTTGATTCAACACAAGTGAGCCAGCACATCGCTTAACCTCAATGCCCAAAAAATAGTACAAGCCACCAAGATCCTTAAATGAAAATTGCTTGTTGAGTTAACAAATAACATGCTTAATATGGATGAGTGAATCTCCTGTTTAGATGATATCATCATGAACATATATGAGAATGAACGTTCGACTTCCAGCTCGATTAGTAACAAACAATGAGCAATCAACTTTGGATTCTTGAAACCCCAGTGTAAGCAAACTATCTCAAAGTCTATCGTGCTAATTGTGTGACGGTTGTCTTAGACCATAAAGAGTCTTTTAAAGCTTGTAAACAAGAGGTGTACCATCAGAAGCACATACTCAAACCCAGATGGCTGCTGCATAAACACATCTTTAGTCAATCCACAATTGAGAAATGCATTATTGGCATCAATATGTTAAAGTGGCAACTTCTTCGAGACTGCCAAGGACAAGATGATATTAATTGTGGAGAAACAAACCACATGACTGTAAGTTTCTTGAAAATCTTAACCTGACACATGTGAATAACCCTTAGCCACCATATGAGCTTTATGCCTTTGCACAGTTACATTAACATTCTTTTTGAGTTTGAAGAACCATTTACACCCTACAACAGTCTTTCCCTATGGTAGTTTAACCAAAGTCCATGTTCCATTTTGCTGGAGAGCAGCAAGCTCATCATGAACAGTTACAGTATACTTTTCTGACTAAAAAGCCTCATACACTGTTTTTGGAATCAATTCATCATGGTTAATGAGAAAAGCTTTAGGTTTGAAAATACCAACTTTACTGTGAGTGCACATTGGATGAGAATTAACTACAACATTCGGTTGTGATACTGAAACTGGATTAGGCACTGGATGTTCATGCACTTGAGACTCATGACATGTTTCTGTATTAGATGTAGAAATAGTAGGAGTGGACACAAATACTTGAGATAGAACAACAGACAGGTTACCATCAGATGGTAAACTTGAATCAGCAGACATAGAGGGAACATGAAGATCACTAGAGGTAGGTGTGACCATAGGAGAAACATGCACACGTGAAGAAATCCTAAGCACACACAGACTTTGTGACTGCATGACTATATCCAATGCAGGTGATTGTTGCCTAGATGTAACATGAGAAAGCTGCGAGGTTGTGGCTACAAAAGGAAAAACCAGTTCATCAAACTTCACATGACGAGAGATATAGACTTGTCCATCAGATACCATACATTGATAACCCATATGCTGAGGGTTGTATCCCAAGAAGGTACACTCTTGAGATCGTAACATGAGCTTATGCCTTTGAAACATTCGCAAGTACGAGAAACACATAGCTTACCACATAGTTGACACTGCACTCATGGATGACCTCGACCACGACCACCAGATTGACCACCAGAGTATGGTTTGTGATTAAACTCCTGAGTAGTTATGGAATCAAAAGTATGATGACTCGCAGTCTGTACCACATGAGCACTCATTGGAAGATTGTCTGCTGAAAACTCAAAACCAGCAAGCTGAGTTTTAGCATCGATCAACATATTGCTGACAACATCCAGAGTAAGTGTTTCACGCATGGTGGTTATAACTGCCATAAACGACTGGTATTCACGAGGTAATCCTTTTAACACGATCACAATTTGTTCAACCAGAGCAACAGGACTCCCACACGACTCAAGTGCATCACACATTTCCTTAACACGAGTGAGATAGACATGCATGCTATCATCT